GGTGCTGCTGGTGCTGGTGCTGCTGGAGGTGCTGCTGGTGCTGGAGCTGCTGGAGGTGCTGCTGGTGCTGGAGCTGCTGGAGCCGCTGGTCCTAGAGGTGCTCGTACTGGAGGTATTGGAGCTGCTGGGGCTGGTGGTGCTGCAGGCGTTGGAGCTGCAGGTACTGGAGCTGGTGGTGCTGCGGGAGTTGTTACTGGAGACCCTGGAGCTGAGGGTACTTGTGCTGTCTCTGCTGTTTCTGGAGGCGCTGCGCGGCCGCGGCCGTACTACGTTCCGCTCCTTCAGCAGGTTCTTGGTCTACCGCCTTCTCCTGGTCCTACTGCTCCTTTACTGAGTCCACCGCCTGTTCAGTCATAGTCGCAGTTACAGCCGTCCTCTCCACTGCCTGGTCCTTCTCCTTACTCTGGACCGACTAGAGGTCTTACGGAGCGTCGTGAGCCTGAGTTGCGTCCTGTGTCGCCTGTGTCTCATTCTGCGTCGCCTGTCCGCACTGCTCGCGCTGGTCGTCGTGTTTCGCGTCCGCGTCCTCCTCCTGTCCCTGGCACTCACTCTATGACACTGCGTCCTTCCACTGCTCCACAGTGTGTCCTTCTACCCTCTCCTCCTGCGTCCTCTCTTCCTGACAGTCCGGACACGGAGTCTGACTCCCTTCGTGCTGCTAGTCCTACTGTCACGCGCTTTCTGGCCACTGCTGTCACTGACCCTCTGTTTGAGTCCTCTGCTGCGTCTGCTCTCGTTGCTGAGCTTGTTGACTTTGCTGCAGCATGTCGCCTAGACTACGCCACTAGTCTTGTTGCTGAGTTTGCGTCTGCGTCTGTCTGTCCTTCGTCCATCGGGGGTGAGTGTGCTCTTGGCACGGACGTTCTTGAGGACAGACAGGAGGAGTTTGAGTGCTTTGCCGCTGCTGTACCTCATCTCGTATGCTGCTTGCCCCTGAGGGAGACCCGGATGCACCAGACATCCCGACCCCGCGCTCTTACGCAGAGGCGATAGAGGGTCCCTACTCCTCTCAGTGGCAGGCAGCCATGGACGCCGAGATGGCTTCCTGGAAGTCCACAGGCACCTACGTCGACGAGGTTCCCCCACCTGGGGCGAACATCGTCAGTGGCATGTGGATCTTCAGGGTGAAGCGGCCGCCGGGTTCTCCGCCTGTCTTCAAGGCGCGTTACGTTGCACGTGGCTTCAGTCAGCGACAGGGAGTTGAATTCTTCCATACCTTCTCCCCTACCCCGAAGATGACCACTCTTTGGGTACTGCAGCACGTTGCCGCTCAGCGTGACTACGAGCTCCACTCGCTTGACTTCAGCACAGCCTTCCTACAGGGCAGCCTGCACGAGGAGATCTGGCTGCGCCGCCCACCTGGCTTCACTGGGTCGTTTCCTGCTGGTACCCAGTGGAGCCTCCGGCGGCCAGTCTACGGTCTCCGCCAGGCACCCCGTGAGTGGCACGACACACTGAGGACGACTCTTGCTGCTCTTGGTTTTGCTCCTTCCACTGCTGACCCGTCGCTGTTTTTACGCACTGACACCACTCTGCCTCATGTACCTGATGACTTGCACACGACCTGACCTCGCATACCCTCTCAGCCTTCTGGCTCGCTACGTGGCTCCCGGTCGACACCGAAAGGTGCACTGGGATGCTGCGAAGAGGGTGTTGCGCTACCTGTGCAGTACGTCGGGCATGGGGCTCGTGCTTGGAGGACGGGCTCGAGTCGTCCTCACTGGTCACGCAGACGCTTCCTGGGTTGACGACTTGGCTACGCAGCGGTCGTCACATGGTTACACCTTCAGTCTCGTGTACGTAGACGACTTGGTCTTTGCTACTGCTGACACTGAGGTACTCGCCCACGTGAAGTCGGAGTTGCAGAAGAGACACACGTGCACAGACCTGGGTGAGCTGACAAGCTATCTTGGCTTGCAGATCACCCGGGACAGAGCACAGCGCACCATTACCTTGACTCAGTCACACATGGTACAGCAGGTCCTTCAGCGCTTCGGCTTTACGTACTCCTCGCCACAGTCCACTCCTCTGCCTACCGGTCACTCGCTCTCAGCTCCACCTTCGGACGAGTCCGTAGAGCCGAGTGGCCCGTATCCAGAGCTTGTGGGCTGCCTCATGTACCTGATGACTTGCACACGACCTGACCTCGCATACCCTCTCAGCCTTCTGGCTCGCTACGTGGCTCCCGGTCGACACCGAAAGGTGCACTGGGATGCTGCGAAGAGGGTGTTGCGCTACCTGTGCAGTACGTCGGGCATGGGGCTCGTGCTTGGAGGACGGGCTTGAGTCGTCCTCACTGGTCACGCAGACGCTTCCTGGGTTGACGACTTGGCTACGCAGCGGTCGTCACATGGTTACACCTTCAGTCTTGGTTCCGGTTCTGTCTCTTGGTGGTCTACCCGCTCTTCTTCTGTTCTCAGCTCCAGTTGTGAGGCTGAGATCTACGCTGGGGCCATGGCTGCATAGGAGTTACGCTGGCTCACCTACGTGCTGTCTGAATTGTGAGAGGCGCCTCGTTCTCGTCCAGTTCTGTACGTCGACAACAAGGCCATGCCTGCCTTGTGTCAGGAGCACAGACTGGAGCACAGAACGAAGCACATTGCTCTGCGCTACTTCCTTGCTCGAGAGTTGCAGCAGCGTGGTCAGCTTCGTCTTGCTTACGTGGCCTCTCAGGCCAACACTGCTGATGTTTTCACCAAGGCACTTCAGCCTTGTGATCATCAGCGTTTCTGTACTGTTCTAGGCCTTGTACCTACTGTGCCTCACTTGCTTACTTCTTGACTTTGTTTGTACTGTACTCTCTACACATATACCTGCATGCTTACACTTGCTAGGTTGTGTTCGCTGTATTGTTTGTTCTCCTTTATATAACTCTGCATGTGAACTGGCCTTGTGGCCATTTGCTTGTGCTCAGACTGCGTGGTGACTTTGTGATCCACCCTGAGCTTGCTTTGCTTTTCTTGACTGGTCTTGTGACCTCTTGTTCTCCCCCACTTTGCTTATGGGGGTGTGTCAAACTTATATGCTATAGTCTATCTAGGCTGTAGTGGGGTAGTTCATATAGGGTACAATACTTTTAGGTTTCCTACTTGTACCCACTTGCTTCCTAGTTCATCCATTCCGTTCCTGATTCTAACATGTTTAACCTGAACTTCAGGCAAAACCCAACAGTTCCCATGACGCCGAGTCCAGACAACCCAACGTAACGAGCACAGCAATTCGCCGAGATTCTGCAAGCTGCCCGCACCAGAGCCACAGAAGCAATTAAAAAGGCCAACGTCTCCGCAAAACGCAACGCTGACCGCCACCGCCGCCCAGTCACATACCAGTCAGGGGATTACGTACCGTTCGAGACACAGAACTTAAGACTGTCCGTCGTACCAAAATTACGACCGCGCTACTGTGGACGATTTCAAATCAGCCACATGATCACCCCAGTTACTGCCCATTTACTGTTACCGACGGACTGGTACATCAACCCATCATTCCATGTCTGCCTGCTTCGCCCTTACATCGCAACCATGAGCCAACTGCCTCGTCACCGCCCGCTATCCATGACTCGCCCTACATCGGAGCCGATCATTGAGCCCGAGAAGATTCTGAGCCATCGGTTTTGACACCCAATATACATCAAGAGGATCGAGTTCCTCGATCGCTGAAAGGACCGTACGCCAACTGAGGATAGCTGGGTGCCCCTGGCCAACATCGAAAAGAACCCTGCCCTGCAAGAGTACCTGAGGAGCCGGGGTTTCCGCGATATACACGCACTCGCGTAGCGGAGAGGGCTTCTTGAGAGGGGGGGGGGGGTAGTGTAAGGAGATTTCTCGCTATTCCTTACTGCGACCGTCAACATCGCGTACAACCGCAACTGTTGTTCGCCCGTTACTGCTAACGGGGCTTCGCCAACTTAGCGCGCACTGTTTCACCAAACCTCGCACTGCTGGAGCAGCCGAGTCGGCCTACGGTTCGGGACTAGCCGAAACCTCGTGCCAGCCTAGCACTAGCTAGCTCGTACGTACCGCGTTACTGTTTGCATGTTTCGTGTATAAGTATTCGCTCATGCCTTCGCTCATACTTCGTACTCGTTGAACACCCTGGTGCAATCCTCGCTACCTCGATTCATTGCACCCGTAACAAATAGGAACACTACACATTCGATGTTTGTTTTCTGTTCGGCTAAGGGAAGAATTTATTGCGTGAAATAGAATCTCAAGAACACGTAAGCAAACTGTCTGGGTTCTTTGCTAAGGAACTCTTCACATGGCGAGTTAAAACGACGACAAGCCTGCTTCAGCCATGTAAAGAAAAATAAAGAAAGTAGGATTGTGACCCGGGGCAGGGTAGCGTGAAAATGTCACTTTGTTTGGCAGGGTTAGCAGGGTAAATCACCCTGGAAAAGGGAGCCCTGCTTTTGCACGAAGGAAGAAAGCAAATTGATGCCGCCCCTGAATCCGCGTGTACAGTGCAAATGCAACAAAGTGGTTGCACACGAGAAGCTGGGTACACATCACCAAGGACCATTTGACCAAATCCGCCCACCCACATCGTGATAGGCGAAACTCGCACGATGAGAGGTTTTTCTCTCGCATCTGTTCGTGCTTGTGTGACTTGTTACGCCAATAGTTCGCCGACGATTCGCTCGACCAGTTGCAAAGTTTTGTGTCACGCGGGTACACTGCAAATGGTCCCCAGTACCACACGGAACAAGCTCGGGTCCACTTCTGCAATTGGTCCCTGAAAAATGAGACCCACCTGCATTCGCTGGTCCAGTTGCCTGTGAATGGAACTCGTGACTCGTGAGTGACTGATGTAACAAACACCCCTAGCGTCTCATCTCTCGTGTTCCTTCTTTCACTTCCCTCTCCCTCACCAAAAATCGTCCACCATTTTTCTGGCATTGTAGAATCTTCGCACGTGCCCCTCCTCCCAAACCTCTCTTCTCCTTTTCCGCCGCCCCGTCTTCCTCGCCTGTGACTAACCCTTCAAGGCAACCAGCCGCCATGGCTGAGGACAGCACGGATGTTTCCGGAGCCACCAGCATGGGGGAATCTCTCCCGCCGTCGACTGCGCCCGCCGTCAGTTCAGACGCGCCCCCCGTCAGCTCAGACGCACCCGCCGTCAGTTCAGACGCGCCCGCCTCGTCCGCCAGCAGTGAACCGCTTCTCCCCGCAGCCACCGCCGAGGCTCCCGCAACCAGCGCTCCCGTCGCGGATGGCGACTCGGGTGCTCCCGCCGCCGCCCCTGACGCTGCCGGCGCAGGCGAGGCTAAGGCGCCGGGGTGGAAGTGGCGGGACGCGCTCTTGCCGCTGCAGGCGGGGCTGCAGGACTTCGACTACGACGCGAAGCACCATTCCAAGGAGGATCAGAGCCGTTGGCGCAAGATGTCGCTCGTGCGCAACGCCGCGCGTCGCTTCCGCTACACGCACAACATCACGCAGCCCGACCCCCGGGTGAGTCGCCGCAACTCCACGTCGATCCCTATGCCGCCGCTGCTGCTGCTGCGTCCAATGCCGGTCGTTACTGCTCGTGCCGCCTGTCGCTCGCTCTCCTCGCTACGCCGATGTGGCGATCCCTTGTCGATCCGCTTGTGATAGTGTCGTGGCGCGCGGTACCTAATGTCGCCGTGCTCGTTGTTCCATTTCCGGGGTATTGTCTCCCGGCAGGAGTCGGTGGCGAATCGCCTGCGAGTGGGCGCGTCGGCGATTAAGGCCGTCACGCGCTTCAAGTCAGGTGCATCTCATCTCTGCTGGCGGGGCACTGCGCGAGCGACGGCGGGGGTTGCGGCGGGGGGAGGAGAGGAGGTGGGGGCAGGAGGGAGTGAGAGCGGCAGAAAGGGAGAGCCGTGTTACATTACATGAGAGGATGAAACCCCGAGAGTGGCAGTGGTTTGCGCAATGCACTCGCGTCGAGCGACCTGTGCGAGCGAGCGCATTGCCACTAGGTGACTTATGAGTCGACTCAAAAGTAACTACGTATGCGAGCGAGCACATTTCTACTAGGCCATCTCCATCCAGCCGAGCGTCCACCCCTCTTTCCGCTCCCCGTCCCGTTCGCCTTTCCCCCTCTCCTCCCCTTCCCTCCCTTTTTTCCGCCTTCCTCTCTCCAACTCCCTCCCCCCTCCCCCCCGCGCAGTGCTCTCGCGGATCTCCGACGCGGCGGTGAAGGCGGCGCGCGCGGAGGGCTTCGGGCTGTCGGCGAAGCAGCTGGAGGGGATAATGTCGGGGCAGGACGCGACGGGGCTGCAGAACTCGTACGGCGGCGTGGAGGGCATCGCGCGGCGCCTCGACGCGGACCTGCGGCACGGCATCACGGCCACGGAGGCGGACATTGCGCGCCGAGTCAAGACGTTCGGCACCAACACGTACCCGGAGAAGCCGCCCAAGGCGTTCCTCGAGTTCGTTTGGGACGCCATGCAGGTGCGCGCGCGCGCGCAACTGGGCGCTTGGGAAAGGGCTCTAAGTGCGCATGCGAGGTTCGCTTGCTACTGCGCGTTCGAGATCGTTGTTTATACGGGCTTATCGTAGGCGTAAGCGCCTTTCGCAACGCAAGCACCCGCTTCTTCTTTCTTCAACCCAACCTCTCCCCCACCGTCCTTCAAGCTCGATCTTGTGAACAACCCGCCCTCTCAAGCTTCCCCGCGACTGTCTTGCGCTTCCTCCTGCCACCCAGCTCAAACCTAAGTCGCAATCTCAGCCAGTCGCAACCACCCTCCTATCTCCTCTCTCAATGGCTGCATTGTCGCGTACATTGTCGAAACTCTTCCCCCCCTCTCCCGCCAAACCCTCACCCCTTCTCCACCCTCGCCTTCCCCATCCGCACTCACCCCACCCTCTTCCCTCGTCCCTCCCCCCCCACCCCCCACCGGCTCCCCCAATCCCGCCCCCGTATTCCCCCCTCGAATCACGCGCGCGCCACCGCGTCGCCGCGCCCCACAACCGCGCGCAGGACATGACGCTGTGGATCCTGGCGGTGTGCGCGGTGTTCTCGCTGCTCGTGGGCATCGTGACGGAGGGGTGGCAGGAGGGGTGGTACGACGGCGCGGGTATCCTGCTCTCCATCCTGCTCGTCGTCTTCGTCACTGCCACCAGCGACTACCGCCAGTCGCTGCAGGTGCGCTCGCTACCTACCTACCTATCTACCTACCTACGTACCCGCCCTTTCAACTTCTTAGGCTCGTAAAAACTCGACTTGCTTAGATTCAAAACCTGAGTACATGATTCGGTGATTCGCCCTGCTCGATTCACAATGCCACGGGAGCGATCCACGCACCCACGCTTGTCGTCGCCTCCCCGCCCCTCCGATCCACCCACTTCGCCCCTTCCGCCAGTCTGTTTTCCCCTTCCGCCTCCTCTCCCCTCCTCCGCCTTCCCCCTCCCTCCCCTTTCCCCCCAATCCGTGCGCGCATTCGTGCGCGCGCGCGCGTCAGTTCCGTCTGCTGGACGCGGGGAAAAGAATGTGGCGCCTAAAAAATATCCTTCCCTTCCGCCCCCTTCCCCCTTCCCGTCCCGCCATGCGCGCGCGCGCTCGTCAGTTTCGGTTGCTGGACGCGGAGAAGAAGAAGGTGACGGTGGAGGTGCTGCGGGGGGGGGGGGGGCGTGCGGCAGGCGCTGCCTTGAGGCACCTAAAAAACTCTTCCCCTTCCCCTCCCTTCTCCCTTCCCACCCCCCCATCCGCGCGCGCGCGCGTTAGTTCCGGCTGCTGGACGCGGAGAAGAAGAAAGTGACGGTGGAGGTGCTGCGCGGGGGCGTGCGTCAGGCACTCTCCGTGTTTGACCTGGTCGTGGGCGACGTCATCGTGCTCTCCACCGGCGACATTGTCCCCGCCGACGCGCTCCTCATTCAAGGTGCTTGCCCGCTTCGCGCACTCATTCAAGGTGCTTGCCCGCTTCGCGCACTCATGCGCGCCCCCCCCACCCCTCCCCCCTTACCGGCGACATTGTCCCCGCTGACGCGCTCCTCATTGAAGGTGCCCCACTGACCCTCACCTCACTCCCGCACGTTCGCGCACCCTCTTCTTCCCCCCCCCCCCCCCCCCCCCCCCTCCCTCCCCCTCCCTCCCCCCCTCTCTTACCGGCGACATTGTCCACGCCGACGCGCTCCTCATTCAAGGTGCTTGCGTGCCTGCCGCGCTCACTCCCGCGCTGCTCATTCACGTGCCTCGCCTCACTCCCTCACGCTCGCGCATCCTCCCCCTCTACCCCTCCCCCTCACCGGCGACATTGTGCCCGCGGAAGCGCTGCTCATTCAAGGTGCGGTGCCTCGTCCCCCTCCCGCACGCCTGCGCGCGCCCCGCTTAATCCTTGCGCGCCACTGCTTGGGCCTTTCCGTTGGTTTTCCCTCGCCGCCCTGCGTGCGGTTGGGTCGCTTTCTCGTGGTAACGGGGGGGGGGTCAGTCAGCAGACGGCATTGCGCTGCGCGGTAGGCAGCATGCGCAGGCATGGGGAAGAAAACGAACAGGGGAAACGAAGCAGCGCGCCCCCCACGGTCTTGCATCTTCCCCGCACAACACCCGTGCCACGCCAGAGGGAACGAAGCAGAACGCTGCCTCGCGCGCGAGTCACTAGACCTATCCTTGTTCTTCCATCTCGCTAAGCAGATACTACCATAGCAGCAGGCTGAACAGAACAGCGAGAACACACACTTGTTGGTAGGAGCGAGTTCGATTTGAGCAACCCATTCTCGCTAAAAGTCTGCTTTGTCTCTAGTATCATCACTAGATTTAACCGGTTTGATCTAACTAGCTAAAGAAAAACGCGAGCAGAAGGAATTGGCAGGTCGATTGAGTATGACAGATGTCGCATCCTAGCAAAGCAGCAGGCTGAGCGGCGAGAAGAAGATCAGAAACAGTTTCACATCACATCGCACGCCCCGGTTCGCTAGAGTTCATAAGTTGACGGCACCCTCCCATGGCCTGCGCTGGAACCTTCCCCTTGCCCCCGCCTGCCCTCCTGCCCCTTTGCCTGCCTGCCCGCCTGCCTATGGGCCACTAGAGATCTCTGATGCACAAGGGTAAGGGCAATGATAGCTGGGGCTTCCCCTTAATACACTCAATTACCCCACCTCCCTGCACCCTTCTCTTTCCCCTCCTCGCCCCGTCCCCCGCATCCCTCAAACCCCCACGGCCGCTCCCCATGGCTACCCCCGTTCCACCCCTCCGCCCTCCCCCCTCGACAGGGCACAGCCTGGTGGTGGACGAGTCGAGCATGACAGGCGAGAGCGTGCCGGCGTACAAGGGCAAGGAGGCGCCGTTCTTCCTGGCGGGCACCAAGGTGCAGGACGGCCATGGCACCGTGCTCGCCACGGGCGTGGGCATGCACACGGAGTGGGGGCAGCTCATGGCCAAGCTCACTGACAGCGGGGACGACGAGACGCCGCTGCAGGTGCACGCAAGGGGGTGGAGGACGGGAGACGGGACGGGAGTGAGGAGGGGAGTTGGAGGCTGTGGGAGTGGGGGATGGTGGATGTGTGGTGTGGGGGAGACGAGGGAGTTAGTGCGTGAGGAAGATTGTGGAGCTTTGTTGATGGATTTCTCGGGTATGGAACTGTATGGAGCTAACCTGCATTCCCTTTCCTCCTCTCTCTCCCTCCCTCCCTCCCCTCCCTCCCTCCCTCCCTCTCCTCCCTCCCTCCCTCCCTCCCTCCCTCACCTCACCTCCCTCCCTCCCTCCCTCCCTCCCTCCCTCCCTCCCTCCCTCCCTCCCTCCCTCCCTCCCTCCCTCCCTCCCTCCCTCCCTCCCTCCCTCCCTCCCTCCCTCCCTCCCTCCCTCCCTCCCTCCCTCCCTCCCTCCCTCCCTCCCTCCCTCCCTCCCTCCCTCCCTCCCTCCCTCCTTCCCTCCCTCCCTCCCTTCCCGCCCACCCACCGGCTCTCCGTCCCGCCCACCCACCTGCATTTTTGCGTGCGTGTACGAGCGCAGGTGAAGCTGAGCGGGGTGGCGACGCTGATAGGGCGAGTGGGGCTGTACGTGGCGCTGCTCGTGTTCTTCGTGCTCATGTACCGCCTCCTGCGCTCCACCTCGCTCTGGGACTGGTCCTTCCACCACACCCTCGAGGTGCGCCACCGTGTGTGTGCATGTGCATGTGTGTGTGCGTGGAAGCACAATCGAGTTTTGAGACGTCTCAAAACTCACCTCGCTCTGGGACTGGTCCTTCCACCACACCCTCGCGGTGTGTGCGTGCGCTCGCGCGTGTGCGTGCTGTGCATGCTGTTCGTGTTCATGCATGTTCATGTGCATGTGTATGTATGCGTGGAAGCACAATGGTTTTCACCCCCGCATCTGAGATCCAGCATGAGCGACATTCATCTGTGCTGTGCATCACACCCTAACAGCTTCTATACCACTGCCGTAATTCGCCACCATCCTAACCCCTCCCCCTCTTCCCCAACTCCCCCCCTCTCCCCCCCCCCCCCTCTCTCCCTCTCCCCCCTCTCCCCCTCCTCCCCCTCTCCCCCAACTCCCCCCCTTTTCCTTCTCCCCCCTCTCCCCCGCTCTCCCTTCTCCCCGCCGTCCCCCCTCTCCCCTCTCCCCTCCCCCCTTCTCCCCCCATCTTTCCCCCAATCAGGTGGTGCATTTCTTTGCCATAGCAGTCACCATCGTGGTCGTGGCAGTCCCCGAGGGCCTCCCCCTCGCAGTGACCCTCTCGCTCGCCTTTGCCATGAAGAAGATGATGCGGGACAAGGCGCTCGTGCGCAAGCTTGCCGCCTGCGAGACCATGGGCTCTGCTACCACCATCTGCAGTGACAAGACCGGAACGCTCACGGCGAATCAGATGACTGTGGTACAGGCGTGGATTACTGGCTCTGTGCATGTGCTGCCGCCTCAAGACCCCACTGCTGCGCCTGCTCCCGTGGTTAGTTGATGCTGCTGTTGCTGCTGCTGCTGCTGCTGCTGCTGCTGCTTCTCTCGTTTTTCACGCCTGTCTGCTCCTAGTGCGGTTGCCTCTTTTTCGCAAGGCCCCATCACTTAAACCCGAACCCCCAACTCTCTTCCCCTTCGCCACCTTACCACTCTACCCTCCGTCCACCTTCCTGCCCCACTCTCCCCTCCCCCCCCTCACCCCGTCCTCTCCCTCCTCCCTCCTCCCTCCTCCCTAGACCTCAACCTAGTTTTGAGACGTCTTAAAACCCCCCTCACCCGTCCTCTCCCTCCCTCCTCCCAGGACCTCAGCCTGCCAGAGGCCCTCCGCACGTCGCTCCTCCTCAACTTCTTCCTCAACACCAGCGGAGACGTGCAGCTCCCCCCCGCCGACGCCCCCGCCAACTCCCCCCCTGTGCTGCTCGGCACCCCCACGGAGCAAGCCATGCTTGCCCTTGGCCTGCGTCTGGGCGGCGAGTGGGCGGCGGTGCGCAGCAGCGTGGAGGTGCTGAAGCTGCAGCCGTTCAACTCGCAGCGCAAGCGCATGGGCGCCGTGGTGCGCCTGGCGGATGGGACTGTGCGCGCGCTCTGGAAGGGCGCCGCGGAAATTGTGCTTGGTACTTGCACCCAGGCTGTCAGCAACGAGCAGGGCGAGGTGCGATGGACTTGCAGACGGGGCGAGGAGGGAGAAGGGGGCGAGGGGAGAGGGGCGAGGGGGGAGGGGAGTAGGGGAGAGGGGGGAGAGGGGAGAGGGGGGAGGGGGAGAGGGGGGCGGGGAGAGGGGAGACGAGGGGAGGGGTGAGTGGGCAGAGGAGAGAGGGGAGAGGACATGGGGAAACACAAAACTTTTATCAGTGTCGGGAATACACATAAGGGCATGCCTCATAGCTGTTTCGCACCTGTCACCACGCCCCTCCTCAACCACCCCCTGCCATGCCCCACTCTCCCTCATCTCTTCCCCTCACCCGCCTCCACCCCCCATCCCTCCACGCCCTTCCTTCCCCTCCCTCCCCCTTTCCCTGTTCCGGCACCTCTCCCACTCTCCCCCTTCTCCTCTGCTCTCCCCCACTCTCCCCTACCTCCCCCTCTCCCCTGCTTCTATCCGCTCTCCCCCGCAGGTCACCCCGCTGGTCCCCGGCGCCATGGACTCAGTGGTGCCGGGCTTTGCAGGCAGCGGGCTGCGCACACTCACACTGCTCCGCCTCCTCCCCTCCTCTCTCCCGCCCTGCTCTCCTTTCTCCCCTTCCTCCTGCTCCCCTGTCCCCCCGCTCTCTCCCCTCTCTCCCCACCTTCTCCCCGCCCGTTCCCTCGTGCTCTCTCCCACCCCCCCCTGAAGGTCGCCCCTCTCGACCCCAGCGCCATGGACTCAGTGGTGCTGGGCTTCGCAGACAACGCGCTGCGCACGCTCACACTGGTTCACCTCCCCCCTCCTCCCTCCACGCCCTGCTCTCCTCTCGCCCGTTCCCCCTGCTCCCCCCTCTCCCCTGCTCTCTCCCCCTCCCCCGCTCTCCCCTGCTCTCCCCCCCTCCCTCCCCCTTCGTCCCGTTCTCCCCCACCTTCCCCCATCCCCCCCCCCTGCAGGTCGTCCCTCTCGACCCCAGCGCCATGGACTCAGTGGTGCTGGGCTTCGCAGACAATGCGCTGCGCACGCTCACACTGGCCTACCGCGACCTGCAACCGGGGGAGATCCCCGAGGGCGGCGTGTGGGGCGACCGCGACGAGATCCCCGACAACGACCTCATTCTGCAGGCTGTGGTGGGGATTAAGGACCCTCTCCGCGCTGAGGTGCCGCTCGCCGTGCAGACCTGCAAGACCGCTGGGATTGTGGTGCGTGGGGGGGGCAGGCGGAGGGTGGGGAAGGGAGGGGGGTGTTTGGGTGTCGGTGTGTGGGTGGGTGGGTGGCGGTGGTGGTGGGTAATGGTTGGTGGAAAGGGCGGAGTTGCCAGTGAGTGGAGACGAAGGGGATGATGAGGTATGAGGGTAACTGCGCGTGCTACTCCCTTCCACTCAGTCCCCTTGCGTCCATGCTCTCCGTGTGTCTGTTGTTCCGGAACCTACTGTTCGGGCTCGTTTGCCTCTCCACTTGCTGCCCTCACCCACACCCCCACTCGCATCCCCTCCACCCGTATTTCCCCCACCCGCATTCCCACCCGCCCGCCCCAATCCAGACCCGTTCATTCCTGCCACGTTGTCCTTTCCTGGCCTGCCCCGCCCCGCCCTCCCCTTCCTGACCCTCATGCTCTGCTACAATGCACATGCTCATAGCCCCTGCTACAATGCACATGCTCATAGCCCCTGCTACAATGCACATGCTCATAGCCCCTGCTACAATGCACATGCTCATAGCCCCTGCTACAATGCACATGCTCATAGCCCCTGCTACAATGCACATGCTCATAGCCCCTGCTACAATGCACATGCTCATAGCCCCTGCTACAATGCACATGCTCATAGCCCCTGCTACAATGCACATGCTCATAGCCCCTGCTACAATGCCAAAAGAAGTACCTTACTCCACGTGATTGAAGAAGTGTTTTGAGACGTCTCAAAATACTCCACATTCGCTCACCCATAACCATGCCAACCCTTTCGTCCTCTCCCACATGCACAATAAGCAGCACCCGCGCCCTCTCCTTAACCCCCTCCCCCCGTTTCCCCACTTGCACCTCACCCAGTCCAGGCGCACATGCCAGCGTCCGACAAGCACAGGTGCCACACAGCTCTCTCCAGCAACTGCTACCACAGTCCGTATGTTTTTTGAGAATTCTCAAAAAAACTCACACTGCTCACACAATCCCTGTCTGCCTGCCCCTCCCCTCTGCACCCTCCCTTTCCCTCTGTTTCCCATCCCTCTCCCCTCTCCCCTCTCCCCCCACCCCTCCCCTTCCCCACCCCCGACTCCTCCCTCCTCTCCCCCACCTGGTGCAATGTCCCCCAACGTGTGGTGCGAGCCGTGCAGGTGCGCATGGTGACGGGGGACAATCTGAACACGGCCATAGCCATAGCGCGCGAGTGCGGCATTCTGACGGAGACGGGCGAGGCTATAGAGGGCCCCAAGTTCCGCCAGCTCTCCAAGGACCAGATGATGGCGCTGCTGCCCCGCCTCCAGGTATCACCTGCCCGCCTCCAGGTATCACCTGCCCGCCTCCAGGTATTAATCACCCGCCCGCCTCCAGGTATTAATCACCCGCCCGCCTCCAGGTATTAATCACCCGCCCGTCTCCAGGTATTAATCACCCGCCTGCCTGCCTGCCTGCCTGCCCACGCTCCCTACTATCTCCAACCATCCACACCAACCCACACCCCTCATCCGCATCCTGTCCCCCTCTCCCCCCCCGCGTCGCGCCTGTTCCTGGTACGGCCATCCACTATGGCAAAGAGCATGGTGGTAGTGGGGCGAGGTGACACAAGAACTTACCAACCCACACATGGCACGGCACTCGCACAACCCAACTCCTTCCCTCCTGTCGCTCCTCCTGTGCCGTGCGTGTGCTGTGTGCATGCTGTATGTGTGCCCTGTGTGTGTGTGTGTGTGTTCCGCATGTGCATGGTGTGCGTGCGCAGGTGATGGCGCGGTCGTCTCCCACGGACAAGCACATGCTTGAGCTGTAGAGGGCTCTGGGGAAACACTCATTCCTTCCCGCTGCCTGCTGCTGCCTGCTGCTGCTGCTGCTGCTGCTGCTGCTGCTGCCCCCCGGCCCCTCCTCCCCCAGGTGATGGCACGATCATCCCCCACGGACAAGCACACGCTGGTGAGCGTGCTGAGGGAGATGGGCGAGGTGGTGGCAGTCACGGGCGACGGCACCAACGACGCGCCCGCTCTCAAGGAGGCCGACATTGGACTCGCCATGGGCATTGCCGGCACCGAGGTGAGCGGTAGGGAGGGGATAGGGCTAAAGTTTGAGCCGCTTTTGAGAATTCTTACTAGCATGCGTGCTCAAGGAGGTTGTCATTGGGGTTGGGGTTTGGTTTGCCTTGGGCATTGCCGGCACCGAGGTGAGTAGTAGGGAGGGGCAGACAGGGAAGGGGGGCGTGCGAGGGGACTTACGCAGGCCATGTGTTGCTGGTGTGAAGATTGTCGCGGGTTTGTGGATTGTTTGATTGGAGGGCGTTTGAGAGTGACAGGAGACGGGGAAGTGCGGGACGCACAGCACAGGGCGCAAGGTGTGTGTGTCGACATGGCCTCAGAGAAAAGCACTCGCGGTGCGTCTGAGGTCCCTTGTTCTCTCACTGCTTTGCTCTCTTTCTCCCTCCCTCCCACCCACCCTCGTTCCCTCCCTTGCTCCTGTGTCCCCTTTCTCTCTCCCTCCCGCATCACCCATCTTCCTTCCCCCAAAGGTGGCCAAGGAGAGTGCAGACGTGATAGTGATGGACGACGACTTGGCTCCCTTGATCCCGTCCGTGCCCCCTTCTCCCGCCCTCTCATGCCCCCCCTCTCTTCCCGCTCTCCCCCACTCTCCCCCCCTCTCGTCTCCACAGGTGGCGAAGGAGAGTGCGGACGTGATAGTGATGGATGACAACTTCTCCTCGGTGGTGAATGTGGCCAAGTGGGGGCGCAGTGTGTACGCCAACATCCAGAAGTTCGTACAGTTCCAGCTCACTGTCAACATCGTTGCGCTTGTCACCAACTTCGTCTCTGCCTGCACCACTGGTACGCTGCTGCTGCTGCTGCTGCTGCTGCTGCTGCTGCTGCTGCTGCTGCTGCTGCTGCTGCTGCTGCTGCTGCTGCTGCTGCTGCTGCTGCTGCTGCTGCTGCTGCTGCTGCTGCTGCTGCTGCTGCTGCTGCTGCTGCTGCTGCTGCTGCTGCTGCTGCTGCTGCTGCTGCTGCTGCTGCTGCTGCTGCTGCTGCTGCTGCTGCTGCTGCTGCTGCTGCTGCTGCTGCTGCTGCTGCTGCTGCTGCTGCTGCTGCTGCTGCTGCTGCTGCTGCTGCTGCTGCTGCTGCTGCTGCTGCTGCTGCTGCTGCTGCTGCTGCTGCTGCTGCTGCTGCTGCTGCTGCTGCTGCTGCTGCTGCTGCTGCTGCTGCTGCTGCTGCTGCTGCTGCTGCTGCTGCTGCTACCCCTGCGTCTCCTCGCCTCGCCCCTTTCTGTCTTCTGCCCTCCCTCGCCCCTCTCTGGCTCTGCCCTCCCCCCCTACTCAATCCTTTGAATCCTCTTACTGATCAACGTAGAGCAAAGCATTGTCGTAAACACATGATATTTCACCACCGCTCTGCTCCTTGCCACGAACCTCCAACCTATGCGTCACTCCCACGCCATCCTCCCCCTTTTCCCCCTCAGACATTCCTCCCACTCCCATCCACCTCTCCTTCCCCCTTTCCCCAAACCATACCTGCAACACCCCACACCCCATCAACACCCCTCGCCCCCACCAGGCTCGGCACCCCTGACAGCAGTGCAGCTGCTGTGGGTGAACCTGATCATGGTCACATTCGGTGCACTCGCCCTCGCCACGGAGCCGCCCGATGCGGAGCTCATGAAGGTGGGCCCGGTGGGGCGGCGTGCGCCCTTCATCAGCGCCGTCATGTGGCGCAACATTTCGTGCCAGGCGGTCACATGCAACATCCCCCTTCCCCTTCCTCTCCCCCCTCCTCCCCCCCTCCTTCCCCCCTCCTTCCCCCCTTCCCCTCCCAACCCCCACCCCCACCTCTCTCCCCTACCCAGGCTCCGCGCCACTGACAGCGGTGCAGCTTCTCTGGGTGAATCTAATCATGGATACACTCGGCGCACTCGCCCTCGCCACGGAGCCGCCCGATGCGGAGCTCATGAAGGTGGGCCCGGTGGGGCGGCGTGCGCCCTTCATCAGCGCCGTCATGTGGCGCAACATCGCGTGCCAGGCGGTGTTCCAGCTGCTCGTGCTGGGCGTCATCATGATGTGGGGCAAGTGGATCTTCGGGTTTGCGCACGCGCCCGACGCCCCGCAGCGCCTCGACACCATTGTGTTCAACACCTTTGTCTTCTGCCAGGTGCTCTGCTGCAGCCTTCAGGGGAGGGGGGCTGACCGGGGGATGGGGGGCTGACCTGGGGATGGGGGGCTGACCGGGGGATGGGGGGCTGACCGGGGGATGGGAAGGGTGGAAAAAGGGGCTGTTGACATGGGGAGGAGGGAGCGATGGATGGGAGAGAAAGAAGGTGGGGGGGGCTGGGAGAGGGGAGGACAAGGGTGTTTTGGCAAAGACGTGTTGGAGCGCATACAGCGCGACAAGGAAGGCTTGGTATCCTCAACTGCTACACTGCCTCTGCAGCTCCTGATCTTGATGTGAAAATCAAGCAATCGGCTCTTGACTGTGCTCTGTGCTCAGCTTAGCGTCCTTCCCCACCCCAAACCCCTCATTCCCTCTCACATCCCCTCCCTGTGTCATCTCCCATGTATCATTCTTCAACTTCCTCCCTCCATCCCCCTCCCCCACCCCTCCCCTCCCACTCTCTCCTCTCCCCGAAACCCTCCGCCCACCAGCTGTTCAACGAGGTGAATTCGAGGGAGATGGAGCGCATGAACGTGCTGCGAGGCATGGAGAAGAACGTCATCTTCCTCGGCATCCTCCTCGCCTCCACCGCCTTCCAGATCCTCCTCGTGCAGGTGCTCGGCAAGTTTGCCTCCACCGTGCCGCTCACCCCCTTCCAGTTCATCGCCTGCATTGTGATCGCGTCGCTGAGCCTGCCAGTGGCGGTGGCTGGGAAGATGATAGAGCTGCCCAAGGCGCCCGTGAAGATGCTACAGCAGGCGTCGCTGCACTACCGCGACGTGGCCCAGGACTTCAAGCAGAAGCGCCACGCGGATTAAATGGTTTGGAATGGCTGCTTGGGCTGGATTGGGAGATGACTGGATGGAGGGAGTGGGGGGAGGGGCGGTGGTGGGTGGGTGGATGGTTGGGAAGGCAAGGCACCGCAAGGAGAGATGCGGGAAGGGTAGCAGCGTAGGCTGCTGCAGTGGTTGTGTTCATGGGGGGTTTGTCTTGTGAGGGTGCCGTGCTGCACTGCACCTCTGTGCTGCTGCTGCTGGTGCCTCTGCTGCTGCTCGTGACGCTGCTGCTCTCTCTTGTAGTGCCTCTTGGGTGGCTTAATTTATGTGGGCATCAGGATTTCAGGAATCATCCCCAGGTTGGTGTAAGGCCAGGACATGACTGTAGTGCACAGTACAGTAGATGATCATACCGGTAGAATGCTTGCCACAGCCACTGACTAATTTTTGCTAGCTTGTGTGAGCAAGTCAGGAGGGAATAATTATGGTTATCAGAGTTACTACACTACTGTAGGTTTTCCTGTTAACTGAAAATTACTGGTAGCGCTATCCATGGCATTTTGCCTTTGTTGAGATGGTGGGATCATTACGGCCATCTTTTTTTATCTCCCCCATACCTGTACACTTCTAGAACTGCTCTGGACTGAACGAAACTGATGAACTCATTCCCACATAAGGTGAAAGACGGTGCCTTACAAATTGAAAGAAGCCACCTCTTGATCAACCTGATCAGGACAGGACTTGGGACTAAAGACGTACTGTACGGGCCAAGAAGAATCTAGTGAATCGTGTTGCGGAGCTCTAGTAATACTTGGCCTTTTCTATTAATGACTGTTGCTGCGTTTCTTTTCTATTCAAAGCACCCTCATCATCATCATCATATTGTGCTGTCGCAGAACGAAACCCGTCTACCCGACCCCCGTTTGCCAGACAAGCTCCTGCTTATCCCTGCACCACCTGAACTACCTACTGCCTGCTGCAAATCCCCAGCCGCCCCCTCATCTCCCACCATGCCATCGTCCCCTTCATCCCTGCTCTCTGCTGCGGCCAGCCTTTTCTGGCCCAGCCCGTGCTCTGGCGACCGCTGCCTGAGTGTGGAGTGTGTGGAGGACGCCTGGGGGGGTGACGCCCGCATGGAGGGACGTACAATCGATGCTGATACACCAGCAGAAGCGGAACCAGCAGAAGCGGAACCAGAAAGAGGAGGTTCAGCAGCGGTGTTGGAAGCGGCAGCACCGGTGGTGGCGGTGGCGGTGGCGGCGGCGGCGGCGGCGGCAGAGTTGCGGGTGACAAGGAGGGCCATGATGGCGCGCATGTCGCTGTGCATGCCTGCCATCATGCCACGCACCTCGCTCTGTAGCTCCATCACCATGCCCCGCACCTCCTCCACTGCCTGCTGGCTCCGCACCACCTCCTCCTGCACTCTCTCGCCACACAGGCATGCACGGGGAGAGGGGGGGACGCGTAAGAATGTTTTAGAGTCGACTCAATAAGCACCTCGCTCTGCAGTTCTGTCACCATACCCTGCACTTCCTCCATCGCCTGCTGGCTCCGCACCACCTCCTCCTGCTCGCCCTCCCCTCACGGGCATGCGTGCAGAGAAGAGGGGATGTGGGGGACAGGGGGGGATGCGTGGGAAAGGGTCGAAAAGGGATGTTCTGTGCTTGCAACTCACAAACGCAGGGCAGCGGGTTTGACTTCTCCCAGCAGTTAAGAACAATTGGAAGCAATGCCAAGGTGCAGAATATGGTTTGGTTTGGTTTGGTTCGACTTGAAATGCATCCAATGCCCGCTGGCTGCCCTTGACTTGACTCAGAAGGCGCCTCACACGCACTGCTACTCTGCCTCACCACCAGTGCCATGCCTTTCTCACCTAGGTGTGCGCCCGACTAGGCTTCTGCACTGGCGTCTTGACCGGCAGCTAGCCAGTGTTTGAGGCGCCTAGAACCTTGCTGCTCTTCCTCCCAACGAGCAGCACAAGTGTCTAACTCATTCACTCACTCACTCACTCTCTCGGATGTGCGCCAGACTGAGCTTCAGCACAGGCGTCTCGACTGGCAACAAGCCGATCTCTTTCCTCGGCGCCTAAAGAATCTGCACCACCAGCGCTATGGGTGTCGCACTCACTCACCTGTACGTGCGCGAGGCTGAGCTTCAGCACGGGCTTCTTGACCGGCAGCGCCGACTGCTTGACCACCTCCCCGCACTGCAGCACGAGCGCCTGCGATAGCTCGTCCATGCCCGTGTCGTGTGCGCCCGCGCCCACCGACGAGCATGCCATGGCAACACACAAGGGGTCCGATGGCTTGACGGTGGCTGACTGGTGCCCGCGCGATTGCTGTGGGGAGATGCGGAGTAAGGCGAGATGGGGGGGGGAGAGGGGGAAAAAAGGGCGGGGGTGGGTTAGAGGGGGTGAGAGAAGGCGAAAGGAGGCGGGAGAGAGCAGTAGGGAGGAGGTGAGAAGGGAGAGAGTGGTGAAAGTCAGGAGCTGAAAGTCAGGATTCATTCCCACATGATACACGTCAGCACAAGGAGCATCACGGCACATGCCCCATGCCAAATGCCCCATGCCAAATGCCCCATGCCAAATGCCCCATTCCGTGAGCCCTTTGCCTCGTGAACCAAGCCCACGCGCCACAGCGAACATGCCAATAACCCCGTGTGCAGACAAGAGCAGAGCAGCGCACCACACCGCACCGCAGCACACCGCACTGCACAACACAGGATCGTACAGCACCACACCACGCAGCACGGACCTCACGATCGAGGCGTCGCTGCAAGATGATGGAGAGGGAGATGGCGTCGATGCGCTTCTCCTTTACAGTCAGCACATGCTGCTTCCGCACCCGAGGCACAGCCGCCGGGGGAGAGGCGGGGTGCGAGTCTGCTGCACGCGTGAAGAGCGTTGATGAGGCGCTGCGGCTGCTGCCCCGGCCAGAGAACACAGACCCCACCCGCCGTTGGATCGACTTGTAGCGGCGCATCCGACGGTCCGCCTGGAAAAGGCATGTTTTGGAGCAAGGTGGGTGGAAGTTGGTTTGTTGAGAAGGAGTTGGAGGTGAAGGATGGCGACTTCTGAGTTTTGAGACGTCTCAGAACTAGATTACTATCACGCGGATTATATACAGAGAAAGGTGGGTGGAAGTTGGTTCGTTGAGAAGGAGTTGGAGGAGGTGAAAGATGGCGACTTCTGAGGCGCTTCAAGCGCCAAAGATGCCCGGAGGGATGCAGCGATGCAAGTAAAACCAGAATACTACACTCACCACCAGACGACTTTTGAGACGTCTCAAAACTCACCACCAGACGACTTTTGAGACGTCTCAAAACTCACCACCAGACGACTTTTGAGACGTCTCAAAACTCACCACCAGCGCAGACACGTCATGAGCTGGCAGTTTGATGCCGAGCGTTGTATACACATATGTATATTACATATATGCACAAGTATACACAAATATACACAAGCATGCGTGTGTGTGCACGCAGTGTACAGTGCAAACCACTAGCCAGGACTATGCCAGTGTGGTCAATGAGCGCGCACTAATCCACAAGGCACATGCGGCGCAGGTGGTCACTGCTCTCGGCTTGTCCACACGCGTGTCCTTGGCGCCCAGGTTCACAAGGTGCTGCAGCAGGGACGTTCCGAGACAGCTCAAGAGGTGTGTTTTGGGTCGACTCAAGAGGTGGGTTTTGGGTCAAGTCAAAACACATGTGCTCTCACCTCGTCCACGCGCGTGTCCTTGGCGCCGAGGTTCACAAGGTGCTGCAGGAGGCGCGGGTACGGCATGTAGCGCCCGCACCAGCAGTTCCACTTGTACTTGACAATATGCGCAACGTCAGACGTGATCGACGTGGCGACCACATTGCTGTCCTTGACGCTCATGAACGCATCGACTATGATGGCGATGAGGAAGTTGAGGAGGATGAAGACCATGAGCACGATGAACATGAGGAAGAATAGCATCGCTGCGATGAGGTCCCAGGACTCGAGGCGCTGGAAGAAGTAGGCTGAGGAGTTGTCGTTGAGGAGCAGGAGGAAGCAGGAGAACATGGAGGTGAGGACCGTGGAGAACTGGTGAGGAGCGGGGTGGGAGGGAAGGGGAAGAGGAAAAGGAGGAGGAAGTGGTGGGGGAGAAAAGGGAGGGTTTGGGGGTGGGGGAACGGGTGGCGCGGGGGTGTGAGGAAACAGCATGATGGGAGTGAATGTGGAAGAGAAATGATGCAGAATTAGCAGGCATGAGAGTGTGGACGAGTAGACACACCTGCTCCGCATCCCACCCACGCACCTGCTCGAGAGCGCCTCCGAAGACAAGGTAGGCGTACATGCTGAAGCAGAAGAAGACCGCAAAGGAGAGCAGGAAGAAGTGCAGCAGCGAGGGCGTGGCGAGGGCGAGCGAGCGCGTGATGACCCCCAGGTATGGCTGGAAGTCCATGAACTTGAGCAGACGCACCATCATCAGGAACAGGCTGGGAGAGGGCCGGGAAGATGGGGGGGGAGGGTAGGAGGAGGTGCGTTTTGAGGAAGCTCAACACAGGTACAGCTGGGAGTCCATGACCTTGAGCAGACACACCCTCATCAGGAACAGGCTGGGGGAGGGCAGGTAGGACGGGGGTAAGGAGGGTAGGAGGAGGCGTGTTTTTTGGCGCCAGAAATCTTAGACGGGTTTTGACGTGCCTCAGAACTCCTTAGATACGGCTGGAAGTCCATGGAGTTGAGCAGACGCACCATCATCACGAACAGGCTGGTGTAGGGCAGGGTAGATGGAGGGCAAGGATGGCAGGAGGAGGTATAAATGTACGTGTGAATGCAGGGGATTCAGAGGTTGAGGTTTGTGCCATCATGCTTCATTCGAATGATGTGCGTGCGTGCACGGATGGATGGAGGTATGTATGGATGGATGGATGGATGGATGGATGGATGGATGGATGGATGGATGGATGGATGGATGGATGGATGGATGGATGGATGGATGGATGGATGGATGGATGGATGGATGGATGGATGGATGGATGGATGGATGGATGGATGGATGGATGGACGGACGGACGGACGGACGGACGGACGGATGAAGCTATGTACTCAAGTACGCATGTGGGCATGCATGCATACACGTTTGTATGGATGTCTGTCTGTCCGCTCCCTCTGTGTATACGAGCGCCAGCGCACAACATGCCCACGCCACCACAGTGTTCCCATACCTGCCATGCCTCCCATGCCTCCCATGCCTCCCATGCCTCCCATGCCTCCCATGCCTCCCATGCTTCCCATGCCTTCCATGCCGCCCACGCCTCACTTGATGCCTTGGAGGGCGAAGTACACGGCGCGCAGGTTGATGATGTACCGCAGGTCTAGAAAGGCCTGCCCTGCCTGGAGGAACCCCCTGGGCGGGTTGGGCACGGCCCAGTAGCGCGGCATCTCGAGCAGCGAGTAGTAGATGTTGTAGCGCGGCTGCATGTCGAATGCCTCCACGGCTCGCCACAGCACTATCCTGCTCGCATACACGCCGTGATGGGGGCGATGGATAGGAGGAAGGGACGTCTAGGTCGAATCAAGAGTAGCGCGGCATCTCGAGAAGCAAGCGGTAAATGTTGTAGCACATGAGACCCCCACCCACCCAAGAGCCACCCATCCATGAGCCACCCATCCATGAGCCACCCATCCATGAGCCACCCACCCACCGATGCGCCACTCACGAGATGGCAATGGCTGTGAATTGCAGCGCGAGTGAGAAGAGATCGACCCAGTTCCATACGAGGCCAAAGTACCCAAGCACAGAGCCCTCCATGCGCACATGATCCATCATCTCACAAGAACCCTTAACAACTGCGCCACCCACCCACCCACTCACCACCCACCCACCCACCGAGAAGACGCTCACCAGATGGCAATGGCAGTGAACTGCAGTGCGAGCGAAAAGAGATCCGCCCAGTTCCACACGAGGCCAAAGTACCCAAGCACACTGCCCTCCATGCGCACATGATCCATCATCTCGCGTGCCTCCTCATACACGTTCCACAGCAGCCCCAGCACGTAGAATATCTCCAGCACCAGGCGTGCGGTGTTGGCGGTGGATGTGTCTCCGATGCCGTACATGTGCATCGCTGCTGGCTGGGACTTGATGGTTACGCCGATTTGCCCGCCTGTGTTCACGGAGCATGTCACTGTGGTGAGCACGAACGTGCGCGCCTCGCCTGGTGGGGTGAGGGTGGACGGGTGTGGAGAGGGGAGGTGCTTGTTTAGGCGTGTCGACATGTGTCTCAGTGCCTAATTCGTACGTGACTGTGGGGAGCACGAACGTCTATTTTTTAGGCGCCTCAAAAAAGTGTCTCAGCCCATAATTCGTACGTCGCTGTGGTGAGCATGAGCACGAACGTGCGCGCCTCGCCTGGTGGGGTGAGGGTGGAGGGCTGCAGATGGGAGAGGTGTGGTGCGGTGGGAGGAGGAGCATGAGTCATGGGAGGTTGGTTCACTGCTATGGGATGGCTGGCTGACAGGAGATGGGCGTTAGGAGCAGAGCATGCGGCACACAGGTTATCCTGCACACAAGGAGCAGGTTATCCTGCACACAAGGAGCAGGTTATCCTGCACACAAGGAGCAGGTTATCCTGCACACAAGGAGCAGGTTATCCTGCACACAAGGAGCAGGTTATCCTGCACACAAGGAGCAGGTTATCCTGCACACAAGGAGCAGGTTATCCTGCACACAAGGAGCAGGTTATCCTGCACACAAGGAGCAGGTTATCCTGCACACAAGGAGCAGGTTATCCTGCACACAAGGAGCAGGTTATCCTGCACACAAGGAGCAGGTTATCCTGCACACAAGGAGCAGGTTATCCTGCACACAAGGAGCAGGTTATCCTGCACACAAGGAGCAGGTTATCCTGCACACAAGGAGCAGGTTATCCTGCACACAAGGAGCAGGTTATCCTGCACACAAGGAGCAGGTTATCATGCACACAAGGAGCAGGTTATCCTGCACACAAGGAGCAGGTTATCCTGCACACAAGGAGCAGGTTATCCTGCACACAAGGAGCAGGTTATCCTGCACACAAGGAGCAGGTTATCCTGCACACAAGGAGCAGGTTATCCTGCACACAAGGAGCAGGTTATCCTGCACACAAGGAGCAGGTTATCATGCACACAAGGAGCAGGTTATCCTGCACACAAGGAGCAGGTTATCCTGCACACAAGGAGCAGGTTATCCTGCACACAAGGAGCAGGTTATCCTGCACACAAGGAGCAGGTTATCCTGCACACAAGGAGCAGGTTATCCTGCACACAAGGAGCAGGTTATCCTGCACACAAGGAGCAGGTTATCCTGCACACAAGGAGCAGGTTATCATGCACACAAGGAGCAGGTTATCCTGCACACAAGGAGCAGGTTATCCTGCACACAAGGAGCAGGTTATCATGCACACAAGGAGCAGGTTATCATGCACACAAGGAGCAGGTTATCATGCACACAAGCAGAGCGCCACAAAGCAAGGCGTCAGAAAGCAGAGGCACCAGAAAGCAGAACCGATGCTGCTGCTGCTGCTACTACTGCTGCTACTACTGCTGCTACCACTACCCATGCTGCTGCTACTGTTGGTAAAGGGGCAGTGGAGCAGTACCATTGAAGGTGATGAAGGTAACATCAATGGTGCGAGTGCTGTTGTCAATGTACCCCCCCTCTATGAGGTAATGCAGGCGCCGTGTGGCCGCGTCGTTGTCCAGGTTGATGTCAAACACCAGTGGGAAGTGCAGCAGCCCTTCCTGGGGAGAGAGGCAAGGGAATGGGGGGGGGGGTGGGGGAAAGAATTCTTGGACACGCCAGGAGTGCGCCTGAAAGAAACGATTTGTTGTCCAGATTGATGTCAAACACCAGTGAGAAGTGCGGTACCCCGTCCTGGGGACAGAGGCAGGGGAAGGGGGTGGGTGGGGGAAATAACTCGCCAGGAGTGCGCCTGAAAAAACCGCGTCCTTGGCCAGGTTCATGTCAAACACCAGTGGGAAGCGCGGCAGCCCTTCCTGCCACACACACAGGGACGAGTGTGCAGGGGAATGGGGGGAGAGGGGGGGGAAAGGGGGTGAGAGGGTGGTTGGAGGGGGAGGAGGGGGTGGCGGGAGGAGGACAGGGGGTTGGGCCGGTGGGGAGATGGGAGGGAAACAGAAAGCTTTGGCTTCGACAGTGGCCAGATGTTTTTGGGTGTGGTGTGCGTGCTCGGCTGAGGGTTATGTCAGCCGAGGGTTATGTTGGCGCTCTTTTGGGACGTCTCAAAAGTCACTCACAATGGGGTAGATGAACCCGTAGGGGAGGCCCTGCGGGTTGAAGAGCAGCTTGGAGCCAAAGGTGCTGTTGTCGAGCTGGGTCATGTTGGCGCTGGCAGCGCTGTCGTAGATGGGCGAGGTGGGCAGGAAGTGTGGGTTCACTCCAAAGGGCTTAGTGGACGGGCCGCTGCTGCACCAGCCTCCCAGGTGCAGCACCCTGGCGTGAAGGGAGGGATGGGATGGGGTGAGAGGGGAAAGGGACGGGGGTGTGGAGGGATTTGGGGGTGTTTCTGTGGAGAGGGAAGGTGATTGTAATGGCTTATGCAGTGGCACATGGCACATGGCACATGGCAGATGGCACATGGCACATGGCACATGGCACATGGCACATGGCACATGGCAGATGGCACATGGCACATGGCACATGGCACATGGGCACATGGCACATGACGTTTGGAGCTAATATATCCAACGGTGGTGAGCTGATCACGCGATTCACATTGCAGCAGAGCACAGAGCGAGCCCTGCCACAAGCAAACGGCTGCAGGCCAGCCAGCGCATGAGCAGTGGAGTCCAGTCCAGGGATGAATGGAGAGCGCGGGCAGAGCAACGTTACCACCACCACAAGTTGAGTTCCGAGACGTCTCAAAAGTCAACTTTTATCACGCGACTGCAGGCTGGCCAGCCCATGAGCCGTGGAGTCCAGTCCAGGGATGAATGGAGAGCGCAGGGGCAGAGCAACGTTACCACCACAACAACACCTCACCCTTGTCCCATGGAGACCTGCGTTCCCCACGTGTTTTCAAGGCGCCTCGGAAATTAACTCACCCTTGCCCCGAGCAGACCTGCGTGCCCCACCTGTCTTGCTGCAACACCATGCCTATCAGCAACCTGCCCCACTCCCCACACACAGGGTGAACGGGTGATTATGGCGAAGGCGAAAAATTGGGAAAAGGGGAAAAGGGGAAAGGGTGGAAGATGAGACAAAATAGGAGAAAATGGGTAGACTGGTTGACTTGACAGGATGTTAGGCTAAACTAGACTGCAACCAGGAGTTGTATTTCACGAGTGCTGGGTTGGAGGGAGATAGAGAAATGATTGGTGGAGCTAGCTATCTAGAGGGTTGAAAACCACACGAAGTTCCAATCCACGTAAGAACTCATGTCCGCTGCATAGCTTACGTATGGTAGTACTACTGCATGCGCGAGAAACGTGTGGGTGTGGCCTACCGGTTGCGATGCGAGACAAAGCGGTTGACAGCTGTGTCTCTCTCAGCAGCAAAGGCGTGGTTGGTTTCGGTGTAGTTGGGGCCGTAGCTGTGCAGCGAGAAGGGGAAGTTGAGGTTTGTTCCCACCGCTGTGGATCGACAGCATGCTGGCAGGACGAGGAGCGAGAGAGAGAGGAGAGTGAGAGGGAGAGTGAGAGGGAGAGTGAGAGGAGAGAGGAAGATGAGACAGAAGAGAAGTGAGATGATACAGGACATGGGAATTCATGGTCGGGCCGGCAAGCGTGTGCAGCATAGCTTCCCTCTATCGCCTGTACGTGCATGGGGCATGGCGTGTTGGAGACAGGAACGGAAGGGAGAACGGCAACGAGGTACCACCAGAAGGGCCCGGAAGCCACACCAGTTTCTTAATGGCAAGGAAGCCAAATGAGCCGTTAAGAAGTTGCCAGGTTGAGGGACGAGTCTTCTGGATTTCAGTTCTTTGATTTCCCAAGAATGAAGATACTACAAGGATGTGGGATGAGTTTGGAGTTGACCCACACGTCGAAAGACGTACGGAGAGAAGAAGAGGAACAAGGCAGGAGAATTTCAATAAGGAAAAAAAAGAGGGGGATGGAAACAGAGAATCTCGTAGCAAGGTTGGTTGACGGGAAGGAAACAGTGGCTTGATTGATGCAGTGAGGGTGCAGGGAGCGAGTGGTTTGAGGGAGAGAGTGATTTGAGGAAGCGAGCGGACTCACAGCCGTCGTCTCGGCGTGTGTGGGCGGGCGGGCAGGCACAGATGCCAGGGCCGAAAAGCGGGTCGACACACGCGCAGTCGCCACCATCAAAGGCGCATGCCCGCGTGCTGCACGCCGCATTGCACACCCCATTCGCCAGCTGCTGCAGCTGACACCCCGGCGCACAGAAATAGGGAGGCGAGGCGGAGGGGGAGGCGGAGGCGGAGGAGGAGGCTGAGGTGGTGGTTGGGGAAGTGGGGCTAGAGGTTGGGTCTGGGGTGGGGTTGGATGTGGAAAAGAGTGGGTTGGCAGTTGTGAGAGTGGCATCGGCCTGACCTACATTGCATTGCATGCATGCACGGACAAGAACCGTGAGAGGTGCATGAACTGGGGACGAGAGACGAGGCACGGAAAGGTTGAGTGGAGGGGAGAAAGGGAGAGAATGACTGGGAGGAAGTGATAAGAGAAAGAGAGGCGCACCCATCTGAGAGTGTTCTGAAAACACGGTGGTCTGAGCTGAGGGTCCAAAAAGCACCCAGGGCTGTGGTGTCATAGATCAGCCAACAACACAGGCTCAGCCTAGTGTGAGAGGCAGTCCAGTCTGATGCCATGCTCACCAGCAGCATGCCTTTTGTTTTTGAAGATTTGGGCATGTTTAAAGAATTCTCACCAGCAGCATCGTTTCCATCTGTTGCAGGAAGCACTGTGAGAACACTGGCAGAGGAGGAGGCGGAGGAGGAGGAGGAGGAGGAGGAGGAGGAGGAGGAGGAGGAGGAGGAGGAGGAAGAGGAGGAGGAGGAGGTGGCGGAGGGGGAGGGGTTGTGCTGCTGAGCCCCGGCTGGCATGGCACCGTCATCGTAATAGACCGTGACGGGGCGGGTGAACACCATGCTGTAGGAGAATGAGCCTGCCGGCTCGCCGTCCATGCCTGGTGGTGGTGGTGGTGGTGGTGGTGGTGGTGGTGGTGGTGGTGGTGGTGGTGGTGGTGGTGGTGGTGGTGGTGGTGGTGGTGGTGGTGGTGGTGGTGGTGGTGGTGGTGGTGGTGGTGGTGGTGGTGGTGATGCAGTGGGGGCAGGCGGAAGAGAGGCAGTGGTGGGAAATGGGGCATGAGGGTGGTGGTGTAGCAGCAGGCAGAGGACTTGCGTGAGCTAAAGAGGGCCAAGCAGGGGAGCAGGCCAGGCCGGAAAGCAACTCAGGCAGGGATGGCATAGAATGGTAAGCGCAGCACCGCACGCATGGTATAGCGGTATAGTATGTGTATTCTCCAATTAGAAATACCACACCCACCACACTCACTACACCCACTACACCACACTCACTACACCACACTCACTACACCCCACCCCACTGCACGCCTCCACTCACTGAGGACGCACGGCAGCGGGTCATCAGAGATGTCCCCCGCGCCGACGTTCATGGGCGTGCAGGCGAGCTGGCGTGACACGGCCAGGCGGTGCCCTCCGAACCCCAGGAACAGCGGATCGGCCGCCTCGCCCATCCCCGCCACTGGAGGAGTAGGCGGGTGCGAAAAAGGGTGAGGGGGTGCGGAAGGTGGAGAGGGGGTGCTTGCAAGGTAAGGGAAGGTGTGTCGTCTGCTTGTGTCGATTGACGCAGGAAACAGCAGGGACGATGAACTCAATGCCCTGCGTGTGTCGTTTATCCATGTCAGTGGCGGCGTGGCGGTGGCAGCGGCCGTGGTGGTGCTGCTGCTGCTGCTGTTGCTGGTGGTGGTGGTGTTGGTGGTGGTGGTGCTGGTGCTGGTGCTGCTGGTGCTGGTGGTGGCGGTGGTGGTGCTGGTCATGCTGGTGGTAGCCACAGCACGAAAACTACACAGCTTCAACAGAATAGCTTGAGAAAATAACTCCATGGCAAATTCACAGAGCATGGGTGTGCAAATGCAAAGAGATCGGACACAACAAACACGAGATAGAGAGACAACAAGTGCGCACGGGTAGTGAGAGGCACAAGAGATGATAAGGGCGAACCTCGGAGAGAGTGTGGGAGGTTGTCATCCCACACCCAGGTGACCTTGTCGCCCACGTGAATGGTCGTGTTGTGCTTCACACCCACGCGCCACTGCAGCCATGCTCTACCTGTAACGACGAGACGAGACGAGATGAGACGAGACGAGACGAGACGAGATGTGACGAGATGAGACGAGACGAGATGAGATGAGACGAGGAGAGATGAGACGAGGCGAGATGAGACGAGGCGCGATGAGACAAGGCGCGCACGCTGGAATGAGCGTAGTGTTGTGACTTTTGAAAAGTCACCCACCAACTCATCACCAGCACAGCATGTGCCGCACCTTGTGAGCACCCAAGTGCATCAGACGTGACAATGGCATCATCAAAGCCATGCAGCAGCGTGCTGATCCGCGCACATGCCGCCTCATCCAGCCCCGTCACGGACCGCAGCGCCGCCACCACCGTCTGCACAAACCGCCGCATGTGCTGTGCGGATATCACCCGCCCACCGCTCACATGCGTGCGATGCAGGTACGAGTACATTTCCCCCACCGCCGCCATCTGCTGCCCCGTCTCATCTCTCAGCCGGCACTCCTCCATTGTCGCAACAGGCCCTCCCAGTGCCGTGCACAGGGAGGCCACGATGCCTGCCCGCACGCTGCCCGCTCCTCCCTCGAGGTGCTTTGCCTCGCTCCCAGGAGCCCGCCCTGCCAGGCACCGGTCCTTAGCCATGGTGTAGAGCGCTCGTGATACTGCCACCTGCAGCGCTATGATTCGTTGGCGGTCCGTGGCGCCTAGGAGAAGCCACGGGGTGCTGGGCGCAAGGCTTGCTTCTGCCGCTCCTGCTGCTGGTGGTGTTGCTGCCAGTGATGCTTCTGTTGCTGCAGCTGGCGTTTCTGGTGCTCTCTGCTCTTGCTGTGTTGCCCCGGTGGGGGACTTGGCAGAGGCAGCCGCAGAGGCAGTGGCAGAAGCAGAGGCAGAGGCATGCTCAGGCGCTGCTAGGAAACGAGAAGAGGCGGAAGTTGAACGAGGGGGTTGAGAGAGGGATGCCGAAGAGGGCCAGTAGCCGTACTCGTGTGTGCGGTGCACGCGATACCGCGCCTGGGCCTGGTGGGTGCAAGGCGGGAGGGCACGGCAACACAGGTAATGCATCACGGCTGCAGCTGCTGGTGTAGCTGCGAGAAAGGGGCACGAGCGAAGGAGAAGCGGGTAAAAGGAGCAGGAAGGCAACAACAGAGGGAGCAGCATGGAGGGGAAAGAGAAAGCTTTGATGGAAAAGAGAAAGCTTTGATGGAAAAGAGGAAGCTTTGATGGAAAAGAGGAAGCTTTGATGGAAAAGAGGAAGCTTTGATGGAAAAGAGGAAGCTTTGATGGACAAGAGGAAGCTTTGATGGAAAAGAGGAAGCTTTGATGGAAAAGAGAAAGCTTTGATGGAAAAGAGGAAGCTTTGATGGAAAAGAGGAAGCTTTGATGGAAAAGAGAAAGCTTTGATGGAAAAGAGGAAGCTTTGATGGGAAAGAGAAAGCTTTGATGGAAAAGAGGAAGCTTTGATGGAAAAGAGAAAGCTTTGATGGAAAAGAGGAGCAACACCTTGCGTCGGCGGAAGCGAGAAGTGTGGGCCAAGGAGTTCGAGGCTGGTGTATGGGGAGGGAAGGGGCGAGTGGGATGGAGGGGGTGGTTTACGGCACACAGGGGAGGGGAGGGGAAGCGAAAATCGGCTTGTGAGGGGCATGCAGGCACAAGGACGTGGGAATCACTGCATCCTTTCTTCCTCATGTCTCATGCCGCGTGCCTCATGCCGGTCTAGTAGCGCTGGCTGTGCACCGCGTGTGAGTGAGTGAGTGAGTGAGTGAGTGAGTGAGTGAGTGCCAGTGCCACGCAGCGGCAACACTATAAGGCTCATCATCAGCACGCATGCACGCACGCACGCACGCACGCACGCACGCACGCACGCACGCACGCACGCACGCACGCACGCACGCACACACACACACACGCACACACACACACACACATGATTCATGGCCGGCGTGTGAGGTGCCTAAAGAATATTTGGCTCGCCACATGTGATGGACATTGGAGACGAGGCATGAGACCAAGGCACAATGTACGAGGGGTGCTGGTGGGTGCAGTGCAGTGCGAGTGGGTGAGTGCGAATCAGCTCATGATGCAAGGTGCGGAGAGAGGCTGGCGAGACAGACACTGGAGTTGATAGCATCGGATGGCATGAGATGTGATGGGTTGCGATGGGATGGCATGGAGTGGCATGGGATGGAATGGGATGCGGTGGGTGGGTGGGTAGGTGGGTGGGTGGGTGTTTGTGTACCTGAGACGTTGCAGGGGGTGTTGGGGAATATGGTGGGCATGTCTGTCTGTGACAGCATGGGAAAGGGCAGAGGAGGGCATATGAGAAACAGAGCGGAGGCATATATGAAGAGACTGCCAGCAACGCCAGGGGCAGGGACGTGGGCAGAGAGCTGTGGCAGCAGAAGGCAGCAGTCCACAGGGCAGCGGAAGAGAGAAACAATGAAGCCGTTGAGTGGTGGAGGGGAAGAGCTTTGAGATGTGTCAAGCAGTCGAGGAATGCAACCATAAAACTTTAGACGAGAGGGAGCGTGGCTGGGAAGGGAGGGGACGGGACGGGAGGGAAGTGGAGGGTTGGGGAAAGGAGAGGAGGGGAGGGGAGGGGAGGGGAGAGGAAAGGGGGGGGGGGGGAGGGGAGGGGAGGGGAAGGGAAGGAGGGGAGCGGAGGGGGAGGGGAGGGGAGGAGAAGGGAGGAAAGGGGAGGGGAGGAGAGGGGAGGAGAGAGGAGGAGAGGGGGTCGGGCAGAGGCAGTAATTCCAGTGAAGAAAGCACAAAACAATGATGTGTGCACGAAGAACACGAATGTGTGTGCGGAGAACACAACCTGCAAAGTTGCATGCCTGGAAGGCTGGCCATGAGCAGGCAAGATGCAAGCATTGCTTGGTGGGTGAGAACGCGATTGAAGAAGTGTTTTGAGACGTCTCAAAAAACGTCTCAAAAAACGTCTCAAAAAAACGTCTCAAAAGACGTCTCAAAAGACTTCTTCAATCACGTGGCAAGATGCAAGCATTGCCTGGTGGGTGAGAACGCAGGTGCAGAAACTGCTGGATGAAGGCGGATGAGTCATCTCCAATTGTATTTTTTTAGACGTCTCAGAAGAACTAAACACCTCAGGTTCTGAAGCGGCGCCTCAACATCCAGTGCATGGGGCAGGCGGAAAGGACGAGCTACCATGCACGCAAGAGAGGGCGGCAAGAGACATGAGCTGCCATGGGGCAGGTGGAGGGGCTTCTGAGTCACGACTGGGAATACAGGGCGATGGATGTACCATGGGGCAGGAGATGGACTCATAGTGAGTGATGGTGGCGGGTGCAACGATGCACATGCGCGCACAGTCCACGAACGCCCCTGCCACCTCTTGCTCTGTGAATGTGCGGTCGCACGCTTCGGGCAGACATGTGGCGAGCCTCACACACGTCTGCTTGCACACATGCACACACGCACAGATGCACACATGCACACATGCATACATGCATGCATACATGCATACATGCATTCATGCGGTCATGCAGTCATGCAGTCATGGACACACGCACGCGTGCATACATGCATTCATGCATTCATGCACACACGCATGCATGCACACATGCACACATATTCATGCACAGACGTACATACATTCGTGCATGGGAGCGCAACATGCATGAAACAGGTGATTTACGAACACCAGCCTCATCATTACAAACACCCGCTTGCACAAGAAACAAACATCCTCTCTTTCTGACACAGCTAAAAGAAACCACAGCATCCTCAACACCTGCTGGTACACAAATTAAACAAATCCAGCAACATAGTAACCAGCGGCCCACTCACGTCGCGACAGCTGTCGGCCCCAGCAGCATCCCCAGCGCCAGTCGCCCCAGCCTGATCATCCGCATCCCCCATGGCACTGCCATCCTGCTGCTGCGTATCATCATGGGCATGTGTGCAGTAGCCCCATGCAGCCAGCTCCACCGTGCTAGACGACCCCAGGGTGGCCATGCGCTGCGTGCCGGGAGGTGCGGTGTGCAGCGAGCCTCTGATGCCCCCGAATGGCGCGTTGAGCACCACCACCCAGTCGCCGTCCGGTATGTGCATGGGGATTAAGACGTGTGCCTCGCCCTGTGGGAAGGGCTGTGGGGTCTCGTACCTTGTAGGGGACGGGGGAGGGGAGGGAGAGTTGCCGGAAAGGGGGGATGAGGAAGAGCGGATGAGGAAGGGGATTGGGGGCGATGTGGAATGATTGATTGCGTGAAAGGTAGGGAGGGAGAGGGGAGCCGAGTGAAGAACAAGGTGGTAGGTATGGTGGTGCAGTGCACAACAGGGAAGCTAGACCAATATCTTTGACCATAAGGAACTGGGGGACAAAATTGGACCCCCTGCATGAGGAGGGAAGGAAGGAGGTGGGAGGGCAGGAGGGAGGTGGGAGAGTGCAGGCGTTACCAACAGAGTGAGATGGGGTTGACTGTGTATAGGGACCCCGGAAACTGCTCTTTTTGAGGCGCCTCAAAAATAACCCTCAGCTCAAAGTCAGGCGACTCTAAAGTTACCAGCAGCGCAAAACAGGGTTGACCATGCAAAGGTCCCATCCACAGCACAAGGACAGCTTGCCATTTGTTACCAGCAGAGCGGCCTGCTCTGTGGCAGACTGCTGTGCTCTGTGGCGCCTCAAAAGCCTGTCGGCGGCTCGGTAAGAAATTACCAGCAGAGCAGACCCGGTTGACCATGCAGAGGTTCCACAAGGACTGCTCTTCTTGAGGTGCCTCAGATTTGGTTTTTTTTTAGTCAGGCGAGTCAGAACAGAAGTTACCAGCAGAGCGAGTTTATTTTTTAGTCGACTCAAAAGTCAGGGGAGTCATAACAGAAGTTACTACCAGCAGAGGGAGACCGGGTTGACCATGCAGAGGTTCCAAGAGGACTGCTCTGCAGCTTGCTGCGAGTGCAGCTGGGACGAGAGGTGGACAGCGACGGCCGTGAGGTTGGGGAACGTGCCACAGTCTGCTTCGCAGCCAAAGCGGCCGAAAGCGGGGTACTGTAAGGGGTAGTTGCACAACCCGTCGCCACACGTCAAGTCCGCCCAGAGGGTCTGAAGCGCGTGGGAGAGGGCAGGGAAGAGATGGACAGAGGTGGGGATGACGGGGAGAGGAACAACGGGTTGGAGGCGGTGAGGATGGGTGCAGGTGGGGGCTGAGTTGGGGTTGTACAGGTTGTGGGGAGGATCATGGGAGGGTTGTTGGTAGGTACGTTGAAAGCAGAGGAGGGGGGACGGATGTGAAGTGTGGGGGGGTTCGGTGGGTTGCACCGAACCACCCCACAGGTGGGGAACAAGTTGCAGCTGTGCTTTTTGCAGTGCTTTTTGCAGTGCTTTTTGCAGTGCAGGAGGGTGCAGGATGGGAGCATCGGCGTGCGGGCACATAGGTGCGTGGGCGCATGGGTGTGTGCATGGGCGTGTGAGTGGCGTGTGCATGGGGTGTGAGTGTGTGAGTGGGCGTGTGAGTGGGCGTGTGAGTGAGCGTGTGAGTGGGTGTGTGAGTGGGCGTGTGAGTGGGCGTGTGAGTGGGCGTGTGAGTGGGTGTGTTAGTGGGCGTGTGAGTGGGTGGGCGTGTGAGTGGCCGTACCTGTATGATGCTATTGTTGAGCCACTGGTAGAAATCATCTGCGCCAGAGAAGGTGTTGGTGGTGTCCTGGCTCATGCCCTGCTCCACACCACACACCAAGCGACGGACAGCAGATGGATGGAGTGAAAGTGAGAGTACAAAGAGAGCGGTTTGTGCAGAGACCAAGAGAGTGGGCACGTGAAGTTTAGGGAGAGGAGGGAGGGAGAGCGGGGAAGGATTGAGGGTCCGTGATGCGAGGCCAGCATGCAGCGAGGCCAGCACGCAGCGAGGCCAGCACGCAGCGAGGCCAGCATGCAGCGAGGCCAGCATGCAGCGAGGCCAGCATGCAGCGAGGCCAGCATGCAGCGAGGCCAGCACGCAGCGAGGCCAGCACGCAGCGAGGCCAGCATGCAGCGAGGCCAGCACGCAGCGAGGCCAGCATGCAGCGAGGCCAGCACGCAGCGAGGCCAGCATGCAGCGAGGCCAGCACGCAGCGAGGCCAGCATGCAGCGAGGCCAGCACGCAGCGAGGCCAGCATGCAGCGAGGCCAGCACGCAGCGAGGCCAGCATGCAGCGAGGCCAGCATGCAGCGAGGCCAGCACGCAGCGAGGCCAGCATGCAGCGAGGCCAGCACGCAGCGAGGCCAGCATGCAGCGAGGCCAGCACGCAGCGAGGCCAGCATGCAGCGAGGCCAGCACGCAGCGAGGCCAGCATGCAGCGAGGCCAGAACGCAGCGAGGCCAGCATGCAGCGAGGCCAGCACGCAGCGAGGCCAGCATGCAGCGAGGCCAGCACGCAGCGAGGCCAGCATGCAGCGAGGCCAGCACGCAGCGAGGCCAGCATGCAGCGAGGCCAGCACGCAGCGAGGCCAGCATGCAGCGAGGCCAGCACGCAGCGAGGCCAGCATGCAGCGAGGCCAGCACGCAGCGAGGCCAGCATGCAGCGAGGCCAGCACGCAGTGAGGCCAGCATGCAGTGAGGGATAGAGTGTTTATTGGAGTGGGGGAAGACCTAACGCGGGAATCGGGGTACGGGAGGAGGGGGCTGTAGTAAGGGTGCAAGGTGAAGAGTGAGGTAGGGGGGGAAGGGAGAGAGTGTTGTTGGGAGGAAGGAAGGAGTGGGGTTGAGGGGGAGGGGGAGAGTGGGGTTGAGGTGGAGGGGGAGAGTGGGGTTGAGGGGGAGGGGGAGAGTGGGGTAGGGGGAAGAGGGGAAATGGGGTAGGGGTGATGGCTGGAGTGGGGTTAAGGGGAGCGGGAGAGTGGGGGAGTAGGGGAGGGCAGGAGTGGGGAGCGAGGGAGTGGGTGGGAGCCCTTACAAGCTAACAGAGCACACAGAGAAAACGCGCAGCAGTCTCACAGGAGGGTAGCAGTCTCACAGGAGGGTAGCAGTCTCACAGGAGGGTAGCAGTCTCACAGGCGGGTAGCAGTCTCACAGGCGGGTAGCAGTCTCACAGGCGGGTAGCAGTCTCACAGGCGGGTAGCAGTCTCACAGGCGGGTAGCAGTCTCACAGGCGGGTAGCAGTCTCACAGGCGGGTAGCAGTCTCACAGGCGGGTAGCAGTCTCACAGGCGGGTAGCAGTCTCACAGGCGGGTAGCAGTCTCACAGGCGGGTAGAGCACGGAGTGTGCAGCAGTGATGTCATAGCTACGGGAGGAATCAGCCTGCATGTAGAGGATGGTGATGAAGAGCGCCATGAGCAGCACAAAGCCCCCCAGGTCGCGGTAGTGCAGCACTCGCTTCTGCAGCGCCAGCACTCGTGTGAAGGCCTCTGGCACGCACAAAGGGGAGGGCGGGAAGATGAGGAGAGCATCACACGGGCATGAGCCGCACAAGGCCCCCAGGTCGCGGTAGTGCAGCACTCATTGCTGCAGCGCCAGCACCCGCTGGAACGCCTCTGATGGGGGGCGGGGGGAGGGGGAAAGGGGGGGGAGTGAGTGAGGGGGGTAAAAAGCAGAGTGGAGAGTTGGGGGAGTGGTGAGGGTGGTGGTGTGTGGAATGACTACACTTGTCGCAGGGTTGCAGGCTGTGGTGGGCTGTATGCGGTGCTTCGAGGGCACACACGGACGGCGGGAGGCGAGGGGCGACGAGAGGGGAGGGGAGATGGGAGTGGAGAAGCGGAGAGGAGAAGGGGAGAGGAGAAGGAGAGAGAAGAAGGGGAGAGGAGAGGGGAGGGGAGAAGGAGAAGGGAGAAGAGGAGAGGAGAAGGGAGAGGAGAGGGGAGGGAAGAAGTGGAGAGGGGAGAGGAGAAAGGGAGTGGACAAAGGGAGAGGAGAAAAGAGGAGGGAGGACTGAAGCACAACACCTAAGCTGAAAATACGAGCTCACTCGACTTATACATTCTTCATAGCACCGCTCTGAACCTGGACGCACCTTGCAGCACCTCGCCGTCCATTTCATCCATCTCCGTCTCATGCAGCACGCCACTCTCCATGCGCGGGCAACCCCCGCCCACCCCACTCCGCCCACAGTCCTCCGTCAAACTGCGCATCAGCGGAGTGCCAACGCCCTCCTCCGCTCCCCCCCCTCTCCCCACGTTCTTCCCCCTCGCCTCCCCACCCTGCCCTTCCCCGAGTGCATCCCCTCCGCCCTCCGCGTGCCCATTTTCGCCGCTGTCCCCTTCCCCACTGCGCTGTGTATCCCTGCTGCTTCCCTTCCCCGTCCCGCCGGTGTGCTCCCCTTCCCCGCGCTCCTGTTCCCCCCGCCACGGTCGCCAGCAGCTTCCCCGCGTGCTTTTGGGCGGGTATGCGCGGGAAGCGGCACCTAATCCCCTCTCGTCTTCCGCGCTACGTCCAGTGCCGCTGGCCCCTGCCCGCTCGTTCCCCGAACCCTCGCGGCGCGAAGCGTTCCCCCCTCCACCATCCCCTCCGCCGGCTCCCCCTCCCCATATCCGCTCCGCCTGCGCATCGTCGCCCGCAGGATCCTCCCCCTCAATAGCGGAGTCGGGCAGTCTCAGCGACGTGCGCGAGCCACGTGTCACGAGCTCCGCATTCGTCGGGACGAAGCTGTCGTCGGGAGTGTCGGAGGGACCCGAGTCGCGCGTGCTGCTGCTCGATGAGTGACATGTCGCGACGTCGTGTGAGGAAAACAAGAAAGAAGGCGGGTTCAGGGAATTCCACAACAGAGTTCTACCAGTACTACTAGTAATCACTGCTGGATAGCAATCGCTGATTGGCCGGCATGGATATGGAGAGCGGCACCCTCCATACTACAAAATCTTTCGTAAAAAATGGTATGCAAATTAACACGGCTGACGAGCGGCGTGGGCGTTAGGCCTTAAGCCTTACCTATGCGCGCCGTCGGACTTGGATCGGAATATCAAGAGGTTGGCTTGCTCGTACGCGTCGAACTTCTCCTCCAGCAAACTCGTCGACCGCGGAAACTGCGACTCCGCCTCGCCGTGCGCCGCCGCCGCCGCCTCTGCAGCCCTCTTCGCGCGTACCACTGCGACCGCCTCGGCCATGAGGTTTGCCGCTAGTTACTCTCGCTACTGCTTCGTTCGCTGAGAGGCACTAAGCAGGCGAGGCAGCGGAAACGGATCATCTTGCTTTATGGCAAACCGACTACTGAACGATTTTATTACGCGCGTTTCTTTGTCGTCTGGAAAAGTGCGTAGGAGTAAACCAGTAAAGCAGCTGGATTGCGGCCTGCATGAGGGAACGGTATGCAACCGAACAAAGTGCGGATGGGTCAACTGGAAACGGCGGGACGAACCGGACATGGTGCCCCTTTTTGGATTCGGCCGCAAGAGGGTGTCGCAACGCGTGAGGCAGTTACGGGCGCCTCCGAACCAGGGCTGTCGGTTGGTTCCAGGCTAACACTTGAGTGGCTGAGGTCCCCGAATTCCAGCCCTGAAATTTCCGGGAATCGGCGTTTTCCAGCCCTCAAGCGTCCAGGAAACCCCTTAAAGCGACGGGCAACTTTTGGCAGTGTTGGGTTCAGAATTTTTTTTTTTGAACCAGGCTTGCCAGCGCGAAAGTGCTGGCTGGCGAAAACCAGGATTTCGTGCGGACACTTTCCATCCGCAGTAACAGTTCGCCAGGGTTCTGGGTTTTGGGTGGCAAATGTGCACCGTCGCTTTAAAGCCGTTGGCCCAAATTGCACAGGTTTTTAAAACTTGGCCCAGGGGAACAACGGGTGGCGAGGGGTGTGAAAGTGAAAGTTGTGAGCCGAAAGAAGGCACACCCAGTAAGCGAAATCGAGAATTGTTTAGCGAACAACCGAGTCAAACAATAGAAAACCAGCCAATAGAAATTGTCGCACGGCGCACCACACACCGCGACCAAAAAACACACAACACAACACTTCCGCAGCTCTTGCGCTGCCACACACACAACACCACTACCTAGGCTTTCGACAACCAACCATGATGAGGCCCGCTAGTACTTGATACTGCATACAGCAGCCAACTACAGTAGGCGGCACGAGCAAGCACACTTGCGTCGCGGATGATAAAACTGCCAAATCCTTAGCATTACGACAGCCATAAAGGTTGCAGTTGAGATAAAAAACGTCACACGACCGTCATCAACAAACAGAACCACTTCATTCGAGACGGCGAGATAGGGAATATGGCCCGTCGCCCTGGAAAGGATGCTTCCCGAAGGTACGAAAAAGCCGTAGACACGGCACGAACGTCGGCGCATTCTGAAAGCATCGGAATGCGGCGGAATATCAAACACTGAATGCCAGCGCGGATAACGTCATATGGCACTACGTGGGAAACCTCACTTTCGCTCAGTAAATAGCGACGCCACTTGACCATCTTCAATGCACCCACCTTCGCCATCGCATGGAGAATGAGGCATGGGCATGGGGGCATGAGAAACATGCATGGGCGAGCCCGTGAAAGTCGTGATGCACGCATTCACATAAACCTTAGCTTGTAGGTGCAAGCGCTTCGTTGGGTTTCTCACCGCCCCCCTTTCAATAGAACCACTCTCATCCTCTAACTTGACCTCATGAAAGCAGCAGTGACGAAATAACTTGGCGCACAACACACAGAACACACCCGGTGCAGACTCAAGCCAACTCTTGAGACGCATCCCAAGATCTCTATGCCTCCCACCAACCGCACCTCATGGAACCAGGTGTGGCAGAAGAAGTCAGCGCACAACAAACAGAGAAGGGGGGGGAGGTGGAAGGGGATAGAGTTAAAGAACGGAGGGAGGGGAGAATGGAAAGGTGAGATGAGAGCATAGAATAGAAGTCTGAGCAAATGGGGTTGAGCAGCGGGACACAGCCGAAGGGCAAACGGTGAGGAGAGGGGAGCGGGGGTTGGTGTATGGGTGGCACCATAGAATCTCACACTGTCATTTCACCTGACAGGTGGAGACCACCTGAGGTCAGGCTGTCAACTGAAAGTATCTTCTCCCCGTATAGTTCCTCCTCTGCTGCCCACAGCATCCACAGACAAAACAGGACACATGCACCAATGCAGGAGAGAGGAGAGGACGAGGGGGTAAGAAGGGGGGAAGTAGGGGTAAGACCATCTGAGGAACAACACAGGCACAACAGGGTGGCCAGGGTAAGTAGTCCCCCTGTTAGATAGTCAGGAAGCTTCACAAAAGAGGGGAGAGAGTGAGCAGGAAGCGAAGGCGACGGGAAGGGGAAGTGGAGGGGGCGGGAGGGGGAAGTGCTTGCGATGGGATGGGGAAGTGGATGCGACGGGAGGGGGAAGTGGAGGCGACGGGAGGGGGAAGTGGAGGCGACGGGAGGGGGAAGTGGAGGCGAAGGGAGGGGGAAGTGGAGGCGACGGGAGGGGGAAGTGGAGGCGACGGGAGGGGGAAGTGGAGGCGACGGGAGGGGGAAGTGGAGGCGACGGGAGGGGGGAGTGGAGGCGAAGGGAGGGGGAAGTGGAGGCGACGGGAGGGGGAAGTGGAGGCGACGGGAGGGGGAAGTTGAGGTGACGTGAGGGGGAAGATGAGGCGACGGGATGGGGAAGATGAGGCGACGGGAGGGGGAAGTGGAGGCGATGGGAGGGGGATGTTCAGGGAACATCGCATACTTTGCATTGGGTACTTGTTTGCGCAGTGATCATTTCAAATACGGACCGTAAACCAAAGGGCTGCGCGGATTTCCATGAGGTCGCTCACGCGATTCGAATGACGACAGGGCTTTTTTCCGGTCCGAGGCGTAGAGAGCGACGAGGATGCGCGATGAAACCCCACGCGATCTCTGTCTACGCCATGAGACGCAGCGCGTCGAGGCGCAAGGCGTCGAAACGCTGCGCGAAGTGACGCAGCGCGATGTACCAACCCTTCGTCGACATGGCAAGTCGACGGAGTGCCGGCATGGTTGGGACTACTATCTAAACGACCTTCGGTCATACGACGAACGCGACCATCGCCGTCGCATCGTCTGGATGTGCGCTCTGCTCGGAGGTGCCAGAAACAGGCAATATCACCAGCACCATCAATGCCCCTATTTTCCGTTGCTAGCTTGCCATAGTTCCCAGTATATAGCATTACGATTGAGAGCAGGCATGCCATGGCCGTTCCTACTGTGCGTTCGAGTTGTGCGTGAGCTTTTTTGTTAGTGCAGCGGGTACTTGTTTGTGTCCAAGAGTCCCAAATTGCACACCCTCATTTTCAAGTTTTTGGGTGTGTGTTGGTTCTGCCGAGCCCTGGTTTGCGACTGAAGACATTTGTGTTCAATCTCATTGGTTCTCAACATACGGGTAGTCAACTCTCATTGGCTCACAACCTGAGTTGTGTCGCGCGGACCTCTGTCTCCCAGAAACCTGGTAACCCGAAAGTCAGGGGAACAAGTTTTAAAAACTTGAACCGCGCGGCTTGCAATTTGGGCCGCGGGCTTTAACTTAGAACTTGAATTCAGGGCTCCACTTCAACATTCAGGGTTCGTCTTTTCCCTTTTGGCAGTTTTTTATGCCTTCCAACTCAACAGCAAATTAAGTGGCAGGCTTACGGCCCTCCATCAAGGATCTGGTACCACTGCCTAATCCATGCTGTAATCTAGCATCTTCATGGTTAGAAGTTCTCAGAGCCTAACATTACACTCAGAGTCAACCTTAGAGATGTTGGATGCACGTCATTCTGAGTGCATGTCATCCTAACGTCCTGCCGAGTGCTCGTGCTATTCATGCGTGCATTGTTTGCATGAGCATTTGTCATTATGCATGGCTGTTGGATTTTACCATCTCTGTGTTTTCTCCAAGTTTAAATGCTTGATCATGCAGGAGAAATCCATAACTTTCCAACGATACCAAGATCGCCTTATTCTGACCAAGATCGCCCAAGTTACAAGATTTCCAAGACTTGGATTTCTTATTACCTTTTAAGGTTATATCTAATTTGGGTGATTACTTGGGACATGACTATAAAGGGATCTTTGGTTTGGTGGTTAGGAAAGGCAACTTTGACTTTTGGATTGGGGTGGCTAGAAGTTTCTAGCATGGGTTGCAAATGTTGCAACACCTAGGCAAAATCCAACTAGATTGGATTTTGCATGTGACACCTCAAGGACCTCATGATGAGGGTTGCATCCTTGCTGCTAGGAAGGTTCCTACCATCCTTCCCTAGCTCTTGGAGAACCCCTTCCCTCTCATGGTTCTCTTGGAGTCCCCAACTCCAACATTCTATGCCTTAATGTTTTGTACTTCCTCTACCATTCTAGTTATGCGGCTGCTGGACGTTTTTACTTGGTTCTCACTCTATAGACCATCTTAACGACTGATTCAACTTGGAGATGGTAGCTTAGGCTAAGGCGCACAATCCTACCGAGCGGATTTGCGTTTAGTTGAGAATTGATTTCGTCGTAAGCTCTCAAAGTGACGGATCCTGAACAACAAGTGGTATCAGAGCGGGTAGTCGACTTTGAGACGACGAATCGTCGTGACTTCTCAACCAATGTTGACGAGTGAGACCAGTTTCTAGTAGCTCTGCTTGCGAACTTTCGATTGGTGGTCGAACCCCGTTCTAATTCGAAGTATCCAGTCCGCGACGACATTTTTCGTAGAATCGAAATTTCTGGCAGAATTCTCTCCAAACGATTTCTCAAGTTTCCACCGTTCATAAGGCCTCAATATGACTGGAACGGACTCTAGAGGTGCTAATGGCGAGATGGCTGGAGCTAGAGAGGCTGGAGAGCAGGGGGGAGTTGCTGGTGGTGGAGTGGGGACTCACCAACCAGCCAACCCTACGCTACCTACTTCTTCTACACCATCTCCTACTACCGTGGATCCTGTGAAAGCTTTCTCCATTGAGAAATTCATGGGGGAGGACTACGAGCACTGGAGTTTCCGCATGAGGCTAATGTATACCCAATACAAGCTATTGGATCTGGTGGAGGGGAAGGAGAAGATGCCGGAGGCCGCGGAGCTGAAAGGAGCATGGATGAAGCGATCGTTCGACGCGTACATGCTCATGGTGCAAGCGGTTGGCGGACGACAACTTGACCACATCAAGGACCTCTTAGGTGATCCAGAGTGTGGCCCCAAGGCTTGGAGGAAGCTTCTGGATGTGCACTCACCGACACATGCTACCGGCATCGTGCTACTCGCGCGGCGGCTGCGCGACATCAAGTTCGTTGATGGAGAGCCGATGCAACCGGTGTTGGATGAGATGCGGGACATCTTCACGAAGCTCCAAGGCGGCGGTGTGGTGTACCCGGAGCTTGTGCAATGCGTGGAGATCGTGATACGGCTGCCGGAGTCGTGGTCTGCCCTAGCGATCAACCTCAACTCTCAACAGCCCCAGTGGAGCGTGGATTACATTCGCGCGCGCATCCTTGAGGAGGACTTGCGGCGGCGGAGTGTGGAGCGCTCAGAGGAGGGGGCTGGCTATGGAGTTGGAGGTGGAAAGAGTGGCTTCAAGAAGAAGTGGAAGGGCAAGAACAAGGACTACCCTAAGGAGGATGGCGGCGGGGGTCAAGGGGAGGTGTGCTTCTACTGCAAGAAGCGCGGACATCGTTGGCGGAAGTGCTACCAACGACCCAAGGATTGGACCCCGCCTTCATCGAGCAACCGGCATGGTGGCAAGAGGAGTGGGGGAGTCATGGGAGCTAGTGGAGAGGAGAAGGATGAGGAGAAAGGCGGCAAATCTGAGGAGCGGAAGGCCGGGTTCTTCTTCTTCGTGAACGAAGGCGCAACCGGCCTTGCTATGGCTGCCAAGGTTCTCCTACATCCCCTCACCCATTGGGTGATAGATTCCGGGAGCTCTTGGCACATGACTCCTCGTGCGGACCTACTCGATGAGATTCAGCCCGCACCCATCTCTACAGTCACATCCGCGACGGGCGCCAAGGCCAAGGTCATGGGCATGGGATGCGCCTATGGGAGCGGATGGAGAGCTCGTGGGGCTGAAGAACGTGCTGTGGGTGCCGGACTTGTGCGCGAACCTGATTTCTACCGGCCGGTTGGGAGATGCGGGTGTGAACACTGAGACGATTGGCTCGGAGCGCTATCGTGCCTACAACGATGAGCGGCTGATTTGGGACCTGCAGTGGAAAGGGGATGTCCACAAGCGGATGTGGCAGATCCCGGTACTCCCTTGGCGGAAATCGGGCAAGGCGGCAGCGGCGGCATCTATGGAGGAGAGTGTCACCGAGGAGGAGCAGCAAGGTGTGCAAGGAGAGGAGCTGATTGGAGGAAGCGCGGCGGTGAAGGCGTCGGCTACCTCCGGCCAAGCGGATTGGGAGACTTGGCATCGGCGGCTCGCACACGTGGCTGTTTCCACATTGGAGGTGATGCACAAGGAGAATTGTGTGCATGGGCTGCAACTGCAAAGAGATGGCGCTCACTATGGCAGCTGCGAGGCGTGCATGCAAAACAAGTTTGCGCGGTTCCCGTTTCCACGTGCGGAGGGATCAGCGAAGGCACCCTTGGAGGTGGTGCACATGGACCTGGTGGGTCCTATGAGGACTGAGGGGACTGGGGGAGTGCTGTACTTCCTCACCATGGTGGACGAATGGAGCCATTTCACGTGGGCACGTCCCCTGTCAAAAAAGAGCGATGCTGCAGCGGCGATCAAGGAGGATTGGTTACCGATGGTGGAGCGGCAAGCGATGCGGCTGGTGAAGGTGCTGAGGAGTGACCAAGGTGGAGAGTTCTTTTGAGCAGAATTCACCAAGTTTCTCAAGAAGAACGGCATTCGACACCAGCTGACCTGCCCAGGAACACCGCACAGAACGGCATTGCTGAGTGTGCCAACCGGACCATTGGCGAGGCGGCTAAGACCTTGTTGGGGGCTGCTGGGATGCCCTACAAGTTCTGGCCTGAAGCTGTTCGCCATGTCATTATGGTCAAGAACAGGGTCTTGACACATGTTGGCGACAAGCATTGGGTGCCGTACGAACGTTGGCTTGGGAAGAAGCCATCCATTGACATGCTGCGGGTGTGGGGCTGCATGGGGCTTGTGATGGTGCCTAAGGAGCAGAGGCACAAGCTGGAAGTTGCTGCTGTGTGGGCTGTCCATCTTGGGATGGCTCCTGACTCGAAGGGGTGGTTGATGTGGGACCCCAAGAGCAAGAGGACGCTGGTCAGCCGTGACGTCAAGTTTGTGGAGGACGTCATGTACAAGGACTGGCAGCAGCAGCAGCAGGTGCAGATTGGCTTGCGTCTGCAGGAGATTGAGCGGTCTGCAGTGGAGGAGGTTCAGCTGCACCTTGAGGATCTCCCTGGGTCAGAGCTGACCAGTGACCACAGTGGCGGTGGAGAGCAGCAAGTTTCTGGTCTTGCTGCAGAGGAGGGGTTGGAGGATGAGTCGGCACGTGTGGACTCACCATCTCAGCCCGAGCCTGCTGCAACCGCCAAGGTCACTAAGAGGAGTGTGCAGAGAGGAGCTTCACCACATGGGCAGCAGATTGCAACCCGCGAGAAGAGAGTGGCAGCAGCACCCTCAAGGCTGAAGTATAGCCGTTTGGGAGGACCCAAGCAAGGTGCCATGGCGGTTCAGGCGGATGAGGGAGAGGATGAGGAGATGGCCTTCTGTTTCTTCACACCCTTGCCTGGAGAACCAGCCACAGTGGAGGAGGCACTCAGT